ATGACCTCTAACGGCTCTACTCTGGTGAAATGTCCTCCGAAAAACAGGATTATTGCTTAGCGAAATATTCGAAGATCCCCCTATCGTACAATACAAAAGGGGCAGATCCTCAAAGATATACTAGTTCGAGCAAAAATCTCAAAGCGGCTATGACACGTGGATAGGAGTTGTGTAGGCCTGTCACCCCATTGTTATCACTTAAAGTCGCACAGGTGATAGGGGAAGGCTTTGTGGCTTTCCTTTGCTGTTTGTAGGATCAGCAGACTGCATTCAATCGATATGACATGTATACAGTTAAAACAACAAATTAATTTCCGGTGAGGTAATTAGTGTTGCCAAATATTTTTAAAGATATTAAGGTGTCAATTTCAGAGAGAGTAACATTCCTTTGCAGGTTTCCTTTGTGGCTTTCCTTTGCTGTTTGTAGGATCAGCAGAGTGCTTTTAATTTCAGCTTTTAAACAAAGATTTGGGGGTTGATTTTGGGTTATCCAGTGTCAGATAAATTTGCGCTCACTGGCAAACTCGTGAAGTGAATTGAATGAGCATTGTATGGGTACGATTCATTTGCAGTTTTCAGTTTTTTATGAAGTTTTGGAAATGTGCGGTTTTATATTTTTTGTCATCGAAAGAGTGGTTGTGATTAAACAATCGATAATCGTTTTGTCAGGGTAAAGATGATACAAATGTTCATTGATGACAAGTATACGGTTAACAACAAATTAATTTTCTGTGAGTTAATTAGCATTGCCAAATATCTTTAAAGATAATAAGGTGTTGATTTCAGAGAGAGAAACTTGTGCTTTGCGGCTTTCCTTTGCTGTTTGTAGGATCAGTGCTTTTAATTTCAGCTTTTAAACGAAGATCTGGGGGTGGATTAATTGGTTTATATAGTGTCGGATAAATTTGCGCTCACAGGCAAACTCATAATAACATATCTTCGATACATACAATTTTAGATAGACCAAGCGGGTCGCACATGCGATATGTCAAGTCAATTAATTTCTGGTGAGCTTTGCCAAATATCTTTAAAGATAGTAAGGTGTTGATTTCAGAGAGAGGAACTTTTCAGTGGAGTGCTTTTTATTTGGGTTGGTACATTTCACTGACCCTTAGCAAGATGGACCTGGTACATGAACTACTTGAATGAACCACCAATGGACTACCCTAAATGTAAAACCCTAAAATTTCTAACCCAATCTTCTAGGAACAATTTTTAAACTTCATCGCTTCTGCATGCATTACGTGCCGTTTATTTATGATATTCCCCCATGTGAGCCTCCATTGCAAGCTAGTTCCAGTCTAACACAAGGA